TTGTCATAAGTAATATCAAAAGGGCATCTAATTTTTTCGGAAAAAAAATGAGTTCTAGCGGCAACAAAAATCCGAGTCGAAGACGTGGATTTTTGCACCTGCACGAATGTTATCTGTTGAAAAAATATTACCTTGCATTGTGTTTTTTCGATTTCTTTCACTTAAAAAATTAAATGCCCGAATGGTATTTGACAAGACTGTTTCATGAGTAACAGATTAGATATTCTGCATACACATAGCTTACAAAATATACTACCTATTATACACGCATACATAATAAATATGTAGGTATTAATTTGAACACTGAAAAACCTGTGATTCATTTAATCACAAAATTACTACAGACTTAATTATTTATGGTATAATTAAAATATAAATTGCAATTTTGGTACACAGTAGGAGTATTTTTTCTTTGTTAACTCATTAATACAGTTGGGTCTAGGTAAATCATTAATGTTGTTGATGAGTCCAGCTGTAGAGTGAGCATCTCGATGACTGGCTGTATGACCTTCTGTTTCTTGTTTTTTAGTTAGAGGTTCTGAGGCGTTTATGATGTTGGAATGATGCTCATTATCCGTAAGCAGATAAAGCTTAATTGAGTTAGCTGAACCGTGGCCAGTAATTTTTCTGGTGTCCTAGTAAACCATAATTACTTGTTATCAAAGGTATTGTAATTTTTCGAGACAAAAGCTATCAAGTTTTACCGCGAGTAAACTCGAAAAAACTGCTGACAGGTACTTTCATACAATTGTTCCATCTAGAAACCACCTAAAATTCAAAATTGCGCGTTTGCGATTGGTAGAAATTAAGACGAGGAAATAGTCAGTGAATAATCGAACTGGATATACAGATATTCTGGGCATCTCATGTAAATGGCCACGAGATAACCAGTGACCTCTAACAATGCAATGAAGGTCGAGGCTCAGAAACGTCATCAGGCACATGATCATTCGTTCACAATATCATCTAATTTGAATTGGTTAACAAAACCCAAACACTAGGAAGTTTTGCGAATACCTTTATGAGGAACTTAACGGAAAAAGGTAGAGCTTTACCGATGGTGCTAAGAGTTCTGAAGCTATACAAGAGTCCATAATTTTGACAGTGCTTGAGCCTCTTTTGTAGTTAAGCTAGGTGCCAGCTGTTTGTCTATATCTCTCACAACAAATGGTGAGCCTTCTTTGGAAAACGGAAAATTTGAAAGAAATTTGAGGAGCTATAAGCTACATCGCCTCAGAGTAATGGAAAAACTAATGATGATTTATAACAAACCCATGTCTAACTAAACAGTCTTCCTGGATGCACTGATGTATAGGATGGATGAACAACCTGACATCCGCATTAGTTTGTCTGGTTATTGATTCCAAGTAGATTAGAAGCAGAACTTATATGTTTACTCTGCATTGTTTGTCACTAAAGTTACGTAGTCTTAGTGAATACTTCTGACTCATTTGACTACCAATGACTACCAAAGTGACGGCGTTGGTATCAGCAGAATAATAATGCCGCTCTTTGAAAATTATATAAAAAATACCATGTCTTGAAATCGTCCTACACCAGAATTATCTGCAAACACTCGCACTTTTGAGAAATAGCACTAAAAATACAAATTTATTGACAGAACTGCCAAAAATGGACTTATGTCAAGTACACTTTCACTACAGGCTATGAGAAATAGGAGACAAACAAATCCTTGACTAGCTCCTTCTACCTAGTCAGAGTTCGTTGGGTCACGCCACTGGTTCCAGGACACCGGAAAAAGGAAGGAGAGAGCAAGACAGTGAGCGACAAAGAGGGAGAAAAGCAAGCAAATGTCGGAGGACTGCTGAGACCGATCGAATCGCACGAAATGGAATTCTGTATTTGTGCTTGGGAGATGGATCTTGGAGATTTGAAAGGTCGCAGGGAATAGAAAATGAATTAAGTTTTAGTGGGATATTGCTGGTCGTTGTTTCGGTCTATCTATCGGACATTCCTGAAACACTTGGAATGATCAACGGGTAGAAATTGGGTTTTAATTCACAGAGCGAGCTTTATTACAGGGAACTATTTTCTTATCCATTTGAGGCAGTTACAACTTCAAAGACGTAGTCGTAGACGTATGGAATATAGCAGGGATCTGTTAAATTTTTGGAAGGTATAGAACGAGATAGTCGTCATGAGTCTTTAATAGTTCCTACTGTTTCTTCCAAAACAGGAAACATATTTTGAGTTATATCAGAACAAGTTTGCTCTTTGACGATTTTCAAAAAAAAATATTGGCTTTGAGGATATAATGAGAACAGAATTATTGAAAATACAGATTTTCAACAAAATATCAGAGCATAAGTTACTTCTGCAGAAAAATTATTCTAAATAATTATACATAAAAATGCAATGCTTCAGTGTTATTAGCATAGCAATTATACTATTCCTCACACAACCTATGCGTGCAAATTAATAGGCGTAGTGACTCCATACGGAGTAAGTTGCTGTTAAAGCCTCCCGAGCAACCATACTGAAGTTACTGGGGGTAGCCTTGCACTCTAGCTGGAGGTAACCAGTTATTTGAACAGATTTTGAGGATTAAAAATACAAGTAACAGATGCTAATAGAAAAAGATGTTATTTTGCAACAATGTGATAGAATAGATATAAGGAATTATACTTACTATAAGTATTCAGATATAACAAGCCAGCATTTTGTTGAAAGCAACTATCTTAGGAGCCGCCATCCACATGTTGAGCCTAAAAAAAATGTTTCATTTTAACATTGAGCGAATTCAAAAAACGCAGGAGCTTAAGGCTAGCAGCTAATTATGACAAAGGGGTAATTGCACTATTGAGCATTTTAAGCGCTGTAGCTCCTTGTATTCCGCTACTGTGATTGCTCAAAAATGTCTGTTCTCGTTTGGGTTCATCTTATTCGTAACTAGAGATCAACCCAAATTAGATTTCTGCTGTCTTTGTAAATTGGGTGTAAACACGTTGGCCGTTGCTTCGCAAGTCATAGGTAATACTGAAGACACTATCATAAAATCGTTTTCAAAAAACAAGTTTCGCATATAAGAAAGTCCTCAATCGACAGTTACGACAGTAGTGATATACATGGTGATGTGTGCGAAATAAAAAAAATCAAAGTTTGTCTCTACCCGTTGATAACATATCAGCAAGACAGCATTTAATGAGTGATCCCATCAAATTTAGGGTTGTTAAAGCCTCCTTTTTTGACGGTAGGTAGTTATTCAAAAAAATACACAACAGCAATGAATTATTACATTACAGGGTGGCGCATCGAAAACGAAACAGACGCATTTACTGGCAGCTCAAATGTTTTTTTTTGGGAAAAACGCTCAGACCCACCACATTACGTGTTCGACAATATTTAGATCAGACGTTTCCGGATCGATGGATTGATAGAAGAGGTGCCATTGAATGGCCCCCAACATCGCCAGATTTATCCCCTGTGGATTTCTTTATGTGGGGTCATTTAAAAAGCTTAGTCTATGCTACTCAGCCAACATCATTAGAAGACCTGCGACAAAGAATTGTGAATGAGTGTCTTCAAATTACTCCTCAAATATTGCAAAATGCGCGGCAACGTTTTGAGCAAAATCTTTATTATTGCATGGAGAGTTATAGTGACCATTTTCAACATTTACTTCCCTAACGGGTCAGTTCATTCTTAATTTTTAAATTACTTTGCTGCCAAATGTATTGATCTCCACTAATGATGATGTATTAGTTTTATTTAAGCTTTAAATCAATAAATCTTCAAAACTACTGAACTGAAGCTCATGTATTTTACATCACTATAAAGGGAATTGAAAGACCTTTAAAATAAGGTATCACTAGACCCCCCTTTCCACTTAAGATTTTAGGGTTGGTGTCACCCCCGCCCAGAGGGCTGCACGTGTTAACGTGATTTTTTGGCAAACCTGTGTCTCCCTCGAAAACAAAATCGACGCGTCTGAGCGTTTTTCCAAAAAAAAACTGAGCTGCCAGTAAATGCGGCTGTTTCGTTTTCGATGCGCCACCCTGTATATAATTCTGCATGTACATGTATATATTTGTAGATAGAGGGCGGCGAGCACCAACTGGTGACCTTAGGAGTTCTCTATACAAATAATGAGATGACATTTTTCATACTAAGGCTACAATAGTCTAAAACATTTTATATGCGGAACTACCTTCACTACAGATTTCAAATGTTTTCAGCAAACAACTAACATAGTTTTAGGTCAATACATTAGTATACTGTATTATTATGTAATAGAAGATTAAGGAGCAAGGTGTGTATTGTAATGGATAAATTAATTTATGGATTAATGGATAACATGTGAAGGAACGAATGAATGAATTCATGATAAGCGTAAAGTATGAATATCAAAAAGTATTTAAAGCTTATGTTCCTCTAGACTGCCAATTAGTAAAATATAGTTTTTGCATATATTCTTCATCATGTTGGTATAATTTATATGGTTCATATATGTTCTATATATATTTGGTAAATTGTTATACAGGCAAGACAGGCAGGCCTGTATTTTTTATGATGGGTTTCTGTTACTGGGTTTTCATTCTCTCTTTGCCTTGTATTGTATTCATGGATGTCTCTACTGAAATTTTGCGTTTTGTAGATAAATTGCATCCAAATTTCATTCAACACCAAATCTTGATGAATATCCTTCGATAATAGCGCATGAAGCGTGAAACTAGAATCCTAGGTGGTTGGTGAAATCCGGTTTCGCCAAGCTTGTTTCATGAAACGCAGTGTTTAGGGTCCTAAGTTTTCTACTAGGTTTTCTATTGTTGCGCAATTTGTATCCTACACCAAACAAATAGAATAGAGGTTGATGCAGTTAATGAAAATATATATTTGTGTAGTGCTTAATTCAATCATCCTTGCTAACTTTGTGATTTGTATTGTATTGGCGATATGCCGATATACATATCTGTAGATACCTACCTATTTATAACCTGTAACATTTAAGTAACAATTTTCTTACGCGCTCCTCTTTTCAGAAGAGGACCTCATGCACCATTCAATGGGTCAAAATACAATATTTGGATGTTCCACGGCTGGTCACAGCGGCATCAACCAGTTGGGCGGCGTTTACGTGAACGGCCGCCCATTGCCTGATTCCACCAGACAAAAGATCGTCGAATTGGCCCACTCGGGCGCCAGACCCTGCGATATCTCCCGTATACTGCAGGTCTCCAATGGATGCGTCTCGAAAATACTCGGCAGGTAGGTATTAGGGTGATATTTTTGGTTGAATAAAGGTCGATTATGCTGGATGATCCCACAGTCCCGGAATCAAGACATTTGGAGATATTTAAACAGTTTGACCATTCAGTAGTAACCTTGAATTTATCCTTGTATACGACCTGAAAAGTCAAATCAAGGTCAAACGGTTTTCTTGAATGGGATACTGTCATTTTAACCACGAAAACAAGTAGAATGGAACATTTTATCTGTTTCTTGGACAAAACGTATAGGGTGTCACGCAAAAAATTGTCTAGACCTTGATTTGACCGTTAAGGTCAAGGTTAGTTTCGCGATCACTGATGAATGACAAGAAATTGAAGCTTCTCCTGTCTTTCAGCCCTTATTTTTTCGTCATCTTTAGAAACGTCCCTTTTCTCAAACGATAGGTCTTACGGTAACCTTGATAAGGACCCTCAAGGCTGAAATAAGTTTCACCCAAGGCTATGGTTGAGCGTGAAATTTTCTATTCGCTGTATTAATTTCCGGGGTCAAAAGTATAAAGTTTCACTACAGAATATTGCCTTGACATTGATTTGACAATCAAGGTCAAGGTGAAGCACAGATTTATGGTATCTAAGTAAATATTGTAAGAAAACATGAAGCTCCTGATGACTTTGAGGTCTCCATTTTTCCTGTATCTTCAGAAAGCTGTTAGATTTTTTTCAAACGGAGGCTTTCAAGATGATTTTTACCAGGACGTAAAGACCACAACAGTTTTCACTCTAAACGTAAAATTATCTGCTACATGCGTTTCCAGCATCAAAAATATAGTCCCAATTGAAAAAATCGTCTTGGCCGATTTATACTTCAAGGTCAAATTTACCACTGAATGGCCAGGGAAAAATATTACTATCTCTATTTCGCTTTCACTATACCCCTTGAGTATATTCAAATACCTTACCGCACGGGACTGTTGGACCACCCTGTATAAAAATTGCTAGTTTGAAGGCCTCAAGTTTCTAGTGTGTGATGCCTTTTTGGCAGATAAAATTATCGTAGAATTCTGGCTAGCGCTCTGGTTCCAAAAGTCCTCCAAATTCATCTATGAGTCGTTTATTCGTTGACGATTTCATCAAAGTTGATAAGAAGGAGCAAAGGCAGCAGTGGGAGCCACAGTGGTAGATGCTTCGTCTCCTGATCAGACGCCGTGCGCTGCGAGATATCGAATCCCGCCCCAAGAAATTTTTTTCTCTTGGCTGTGGATGTTGTGATTGTCCCTGGGGGTATACGGTCTCTGAATGCCATAGGCGGAGGTACCACCCGGCGGATCTTGTAGGCGGGGCCAGATGTGTGTAAGGAGCCTTAAGGGAATTGGGAGGAAATTAATGGATATGGGGGTCGACACATTGCATAATATCCCCCGCTCTTCAATTCTTATTGTCATAAGGGCATTCCTACTCAGAAGCACTGAGGCAGCAGTCGACCCCCAGTTCTTCATTCAATTTTCAATCGCAAATCATTCCATCCCTCAAGCGAATGTATACTTGAACAACTTCGGAGGGGGGACTTAAAAAATAATTGACTGTACTAAAGTAGGCAGTAAACAAAATACGTTTGAGAACATCTGATCTAAACTGACATACCCTCTAAAATCGCTATGTCATCTGTCACGTGCCCCACCCAGATATTGCTTGTCTCGTTTCTTCGCAAAGTAATGTAAAATGGACACCAATGTTATTTAATTTCTCCTCCACCTTTCCATGTATTTCCTGCTTTGTCTGGAAAGAAACTGCTGGTTTCCTGCTTCCTCCACCTTTATTGATACTGTATCAAATATAGTACATCCAAAGCTGGTTGAAGTTTCTACCTATTTCCCTACCTTATGTGTACCAAGAATTACTAGTCCCCAAGCATCAGCATTTCTGGTTGTTGTGGTTGGTAGATGATCAATATTTACGTAAACTGCGCGTTGCTTCTGTCCTATTCATCTCAAGTGGCACTTCTATCTATACATGCCCTATACAGAACTATGAGACACAGTATTCTACCCATAACACTCAGCTGTCCACGTATTCTATAAGAACTGGAATCAGCTATCACGCTCACGTTCCAAAATTATTTACCTATAAGTACTTAACCATCTCTTGAATGGTGCCTCCATTTAACCTTCCTACATGATCAACCTTCTACCTTCCGGTCGTATTTGAGAATTGGCAGCTTATAATTTCTCTATAAATGCATAGTCTTCTCATTAACATTAGATAATAATATGCATGAGTGTCAATCGAATGGTACCTACTGATTGGTCCAATTTACCCAATTTGCAACCTGTTTAGTTTTATGTGACTTCTGAAACTTATCCTGTGGTTTTCATGTTCATTGTCTGGTCGAATAAATCACATATATGTTTTGATTTCTCTTAAATGTTCGATGTTCTGGTCCCCACGGCAGCCTCTTTCAAGTACAATAGCAATTATGAGTTATACATTAGAATATTTTTTACAAGGTGCCCTCAAAGCGTTCCTTTACAGAGCGTATACCAGAGCTTTAAGATAACCGAGATGTTAGGTTCCAAAAAGCATAAAATCAATCAGTACGACCCTAAGATCTTCCACTCCTACGTCAAAACGTATGATGTACTAAGACTATGTGAATCAATACCCAAACCAGGTGTGGCGTGATGTCTAGGTTAACCTAGTTTATAAGCAAACTGCATTTGAAAAATGTTATATTCCCAGAGCAAAAACGTAGTTTTCGATTTGATATGAGCATCTTCAAGATTCTATTGATACTCCGCGACTGTACTCAAAACGTCGCCGTCGTCCTCGATGTTTCTTTCCATTACAGCTGCATATTATGTTTGTTTATATCGTGCAAAGCCGTCTGGTTGAACAAAATTGAACACCTAGACAGCCCCAAATGTTGCAAATTCAGGAAGAGATTTTTGAGTCTAACAGCGACAATTTCAAGGTGTGCTTAAAAACAAAACACGCGACAGGGCAGTACTCGAAATTATTCACCGAATGAATGCTGAGTATTTATTTTTAAATTTCTTTTTCACGTTTTCGGTGTTTTTTTTGCCACAAATTAGCTTTGGTATTGCAAACGTAGTTAACTCTGAAAGGGAAGGTCAAAATTTTCAGGACACCCTGTACATTGTCATTAATTGTTATTGTACTTGAAAAAGACCACCATGGTGGCCTAGACGTCAAACAATTACAAGATCAATGTAGTTCTTTATAGGTTTACCTTATTTATTGTATCCCGCATTGTCCGATAACACGCTTTTGCCCTTCTGGTCTATCCTCCATGTCCTCTTGATCGGTGTATATTTTCTGACTCTCAGGTGACGGTACCTTTGCAGGTATTACGAGACGGGTTCCATTAAACCTCGAGCGATCGGCGGATCCAAACCTCGAGTGGCCACCACGCCTGTTGTCAACAAGATTGCCGAGTTCAAAAGGGAGTGCCCATCCATCTTCGCCTGGGAGATCAGGGACAGGCTGCTCAGCGAGGGAGTGTGCAACAACGACAACATACCTAGCGTAAGTACAAGTTCTATTTAAAATCATTTTACAGTTCGCAAGACCATTGCATGCAAGCTGTTGCAGTTGTAAGACGGCATTGTTTTGTTGGCTAGTAGGTCTTAAATAGCTATTATTCGTGCTATTTGATTAAAGAATTTATACTATATACTTAAAACTTTTTTTTAAAATAGGCGAAAACGCTGCCCGCTATGTTTGGCCCCTACATTATTGTACTCTGACGACATACCATTTGTACTGTACACAGCAGCTGACACCAGCATAAGCTCTCAAACTTATAAACATCAAAAATGACTTCTACTACTTTATATGAAAAATCTAGTAATCATTATCGTTATTGAGTCGGCACATGAATAAAGACACCAGGAAAGCTGTGGATCAGGGTGCTTAGGGAAATAAATACCATATATGCAACACTGATGTGAAATGCTTGAAGCATACTTTATTTTCGGGATATTTTTACATTTTACCGTGCAGATTTTATCGTCTCGTTTAACAGTACAATATTTGATACATTATTCAGGTCATGACTCATGAACTTAGTTTTGAAGAACTGAAAATGAAGATTATGCAAGTGTGTTACATATTCTTTCAAAAATTACCAACCATCAATGTGTCAATTTTCGGCAAATTTGTGCTCTCGGCATTTGCAAATCCAATGTCCATTATTGTTTTTTCAATAAAACGAGAAAACCATCGATTAGGATTGATTAGGATTTTTTTACAAATATCTAAAGAAGACAACGTTATCCCACGAGTGACATATGGATGACCGTTTCACATTAAAAATAAGACATATTATTTTTTAATTGGACTTGGACTTCCCAGTTTAGTTGGCGCACTTCAAGATTTGTACCAAAATATGCCTTTATAAACTAAACATGACGAAACTATTTACTTCTAAAACAATTTATTTTCTCAAAAACATTTTAGCTCTAGTCGTAAAAAATACATATTTGAAATCACTTAGACCTATAACTAATAGAACATCTGAACAAATAAACAATGTGCGAATAAATGCGCGAAGTTAACAAAGCAACAATTGAAAGATTACCATTGGGCAACATCATCTTTATTTTTTATTACGGCTGAAATTCTTTGGAGGATAGTGTTAACCAAGTTTTGGCAAAAATTTGGTGTAAGACAATCCCATATTTCTTGAAGCTTTTGACTCAGTTCGATGATTGTACGAGCAGGATGTTGTCATAGAACCTTTTTCATCTCGTGCCACAAAGTTTCAATAGGTGACAGATCTGGACTGCTAGAAAAAATCTTGGCCGGATGTCAAACATTCTTCCATCACTGGTAAAAGCGATTCTTCTAAAATTGCCAAATATTTGTTTGTATCCACAGTGGAGTTAATAGTGGCTTTTCTTTGGCCTACAAACAAGTTGGGCAACTTTAGGGTGTTTACATCACTTTTTTTATAAGAAAGCTTACCTTGCATGTTCTAAATCCCAGTTTGTGGGCCTCTCTATGAGTTGTGAACCTCAAAATTCTCTTTCCAACAGCGTCACTCCAAAGAGCACTTAATTGTAAATAATTGGCAAGCCTGTTTTTCACGTTTATTCTTCTTAATGCTCTTCGGTCGGTATTTGTGATATTACTTTTTTTCACATATCGTGGCTTAATATTAACTGAACCTGTTACGTTATATCTTCTAACAATATTTCTCACACTGTACCGCGATAAGTCTAACAAAGTTGCAATTTCTGAGTTTGATTTCCCAAAATTAAAAAATGTAATTATCAGTAACCGAATTTTCTCACTAATAACCTTTCCTCTACCCATTTTGAAAACCTTAACTACCCAAAACTATTACGTATTCTGACAGCTGTGATTAATAAAAACAATTGTCATGGCTTTTATTTTTCACGGCCACCTATGCGTTATAGACTTATTTTGCATTGAAATGAAAATAGGTTGATATGCTGTAATTGCAACATGTGTTATTTTAGGGAGTGATAAAGTTGGTGTTTTCTACTATATATTATCAAAATATTGATTGTTAATATTTTAAACCTATAACACCCTGCTACATTTTTATTATTTGTGTTTAATAAGAAAAAAACTATGATTTCAATTGTTGGGCCAACTGAAGTGGGAAGGGGCTCGTAGTTTACAAACTGAAAACCATCATTTACGGTATGTATTTTGAACTGTGATTTTAGCTTATAACACGGCTAGCTTTGAACCTTTTTAACTGCAAAAAATCTAGATTTTTCATAGCTTCACATACATTTTCCTGAAACAATGACCATTTCATACGATTTCTTCAATTTTTCCCGGAAAAAACGATAACATATCTAATGAAGGTAGTAAACGTTGAATGACTGAGGCCAGGCAAGGACGCCAATGGACAAACTGGTGGAATTCAGTGACTTGAATTTTCGCAGTGGGGCCATCATGAAGTGTCCGAAAATGGTGCATGTTCCTTGCTTGGACGTCGCGGTAGAAAAGTGGATTTACTCTTATATCTGTGCATGGCTCATTGTATCACTGTGAACTCTTGAGATACGCATACATTACAGACTATGCGTACTGTGATCTAGATAGTCGAAGACTAGAAACTATGAGATGGTTAATGGTTGGGATAACGACACCAACGGAAACATTTGTACATAATACCAAAGAGCCGTCATCAGCTCATAAAAGCTCTGTGGCCAGTCCACCGTGAGTCCGTGTATAGAGTATCGGAAAAACATAAAAATAAAGCAAGGTTTCAGGGGCAGCGTAGAGTCCGGGTGTTAGGGGGCTATAGCCTCCTTCTGTTCTCTGGAATAAGATGATGTACTGTCGAATAGTGCCCTGAGGAAACGAGACCAATTGAACAGTCTTTCATTGACCATAATGTTTTTTTTTATTTATCTGAGTAATTAAATTTGATTAAACTGAGTTTTCTGGAACCAGCGTAATTGAAAGTAATTTACTATCCCCTATTTTGCAAAAAATAGCATAATATGGTTTATTAAAGTGTTTAATTAGTTTGGGTAATTTGGTTTATGTAAAAAAGGAAGATTAAAAAATAAAAACCATAATCACGGTTAAAATATTTCTCCCTGTGGATCTTGAAGTATAGAACTTTTTTGATGTACTTATAGTTCAATGATAAAAGACTGAAGGATTCAGTGTGTACCATTGTATAGCATAAACGAGGAGGTACCTAAAATAAACCGGAATTATTTTTTTAAAGCTATTTATTTTCAACTTCTTCACAAAGTAGTCTTCAAAATACTGTCCACTACAACTAATACACTTGTCCCACCGGTGCTTCCACTGCTCCAAACATTATTTGAAGTCTTCCTTAGAAATGTCTGACAGCTCTTCCCTCGTTTTTTTCTTGACCTCTTCAATGTCGTCAAAGCGCCGTTCTTTCATGCCCCTTTTCATCTGTGGAAATAAGAAAAAGTCGCAGGGAGCCGGCGAATAAGGTGCGTGAGGCAGCGGAACCTTGCCATTTTTTAGCCAGAAACTGTCGAACAGAAATGGCTGTGTGTGCAGGTGCATTATCGTGGTGAAAGAACCAGTCTCCTGACTGCCACAAATTGGATCTTCTTTGCCAAACGCTTTTTCGCAATCGTCTTAAAACCTACAAATCGAACAAGCTCTCGAATTTCTTTAACATTTTCGTCGATTTTGGCAGTTAATGGATGTCTAGAGCGAGGTTTGTCATCAATCGACATGTCGCTATTTTTAAATCGAGCAAACCACTCGTACACCTGGGTTTTTCCCATAGCACCATCTCTGTAAGCTATTTTCAACATTAAAACAGTTTCAGCGGCATTTTTATCAATTAGAAAGCAACATTTAACAGCTGCACGTTGCTCGATGAAGCTTGCCATCGTAAAAAACAAACATAATGACTACAGAGGAACGAAACAAGCGAGATCGACAACTCAGCTGGCACTGAACTAGTAATGAGTTGCGTACGCCTCTAGGGACAGAAATCTGTACTTCACAAGCTCCGCCCACTGCAATACTATTCCGGTTATATTTGGGTCCGTCCTCGTAGATAGGAAGTGGAGCCTCCTGTTGGTGCAGACTTTGTAGTATTTGAGATTATCCTAGTTTCTTTAAAGTGATCTCGAGGTTTTTAAATATGTAAATGCGTTGAATGTGTGTGAGTGCAATATTGTTTTATTATTAGAAATGAAAGTACAATTTTTGTGGCCGTATTCAGTCTCATGTATCCCTTTTCTTACTTTATGAAAACCAAAAATTAAAAATGTTTCCCGTAAAAAAGGTCATGGACCTACTCGTACTTGAACATAAAGTTTCCTTCCATTCAAGAAAACTGCCTTGGTCTTCAAATGAGCTTGAGGGTAACAGTCAAGGTGACGTTCTAGGTTGCCATTACATGAATCTTTTCAAACCTTACAACTTTATCATGCAACATTTTCCCTTGTGAAACGTATTTTTCGAGATATCCTTCAAATCAATGAAAATCATGACCAAGGATGAGGGTTTCATTTAAGAATATTTCCTTGACCTTTAAATGACCTTGAACGTCCTAGTCAACGTTACGTTCAAGACCACCAATGCATGAATAATTCTTTCGAACGTTACAACTGTCCTTTCTGTTATAAGTAAGGTGATGGAGAGATGCATACATCGCGAGCTTCTGGACTACCTCGAACGTCACAGATTGATTAGCGAGTATGGTAGTATGGTTTCCGGCACCAACGATCCACAGGGGACCTCCTAGCTTACGTCACGAAATTGTGGAGTAAACTCATCCAGTCTTATGGTGAGGCTCATGTCGTTGCTCTTGACATCATGAAAGCGTTCGATCAGCTGTGGCACGCTGCCCTCTTAAAGAATCCTCCATCCTATGGCCTCCCAGAAAAGCTTTGCAGATGGGTGGCTGACTTGTCAATGTCAACGCGGGTGTTCCCCAGCGTTAAGTCTTGGCTCCAACACCGTTTCTCTTACATATCAAACGACCTCCTTTCCTGCACGATCAACCCAATCCACGGCTTCGCTGACGACAGCACTCTACA